ATCACGATCAGCGATTATAGGATTCTGTTTTTTATATCTGAAAGTGCATCTCACATGGAAAGTCGAGAGGCGGGCCGGTTGCAGTCAGCTTTCGAATCGCCTACACTTTAGGTTTGCTATTAATCAGCACTTTCTATCCTTCAAGTTTATAGCTTATAATGCTATATCTAATAATGCACGTTTATAACACTAAATTACATCTTTGATTCCAAGCTACAGCTGCTGCAGCTTCGACATCTCCAATACAACTGTATAAAGTCATTAAGATAATATTATTACTGTTTCATTTTAATGAGAATGTTAATATTTCATGTCGCAGTCCTAAATACCGAAACTACTTTCACGTTTATTCTTAACTGACTAAGGAACTTTCCTTTCTTTAATCCGACGTTTTATATGTATAGACGAAGGACAATATGTCTATGTAACTTTGTGTACTGAATTAGAATGCTCTTCAAGTATATAAGGATATATTATTGATCATAACATTTAAAAGGTCGTGTGTGAATATAAAATGCATTGGTCAGTTATTCTGACAACTATGTTATGATAAATCTAAGTGTATTTTTAAAAACCTCACTTTATGTCATAAACTAGTTACTGGCGAATCAGTCTACGAAATGTTATATTTATGGGACCATTAATTACTTTTGTTATATATATATATATATATTCACAATTAATGTCTTTTTATTCGTGACTGACAAAAACATACAGACAAATTGTTAAACCTTTTGTGACTAAACTTTGCGTTTAATTCAGTCGAAAATTTCATTTTGAATTATTATTTCCGAGGGACGGAATATAAATTGTTAAATGTGAATAAGTTAAACTAACATAAAACTGCGTTGAAACTGGATATCTTAGAATTCCATTAACTTTAGAGTTATTATTTTTTACAACGCTTTGTTTATTTGAAAACTCGTATTTATAAGTATTAGTTATATTACATGTACGATGGTTACTAAACAAATAAAGAAAGATATAATTTTTTATTAAATATTTTTTGTTAAATAATAATATAAATAATGATAATTTGCGTGATTATTACTCACAAGAACTTACTCAGCTTATTTGGAGAATATTTGTTTTTCGTCAATTACCTGTCAATAGATTATTGTTGAGGATGCGAATCGACCGAGGGTTTGAGAAATCCAGCCAACAATAGAAACTGGTCTAGTCGTGATGGTCTGTAGATTAAAGGTCCGCCTCTCATGAATGAGGGCGCGGGTTCGAAACCTGGCAAGTCCCAATGTGATCTTTTCCGACTCATATGTACTTTCTAATATAATTTTGACACTGACAGACGGTGAAGGCAAACATCGTAAGGAAACCTGGACTTATAATTTTACAATTATAAATTTTACATCTCCAACCCGTGTTGAACAAGCGTGAGAAGAAACTTTATTATATATTTAATAGAAACTTAAATAAAGCGAATTCAATATGTCGTTTGATAGCATCTAAACTTGATATTGATTGGTCAGAATATAATAAGTATATATAAGTATATATATATATATAAGTATATATATATATATAATTAAAAATTCTTACTTCACAATAGTATAAGGCATTCTATAGCCAACATGTAGGAATCTAGTCTTCCTCTTCAAAGCGTCATGTGAATCTCTATCATTTTGCTCAGCAATTCCAATATTGCATCGTCACACTATATATGAAGCGTTGCCCTTTCCCCATTCAATAACCTACGATAATACTGTAATTTGCGAAGATTTATGCATGAAAATTATAACTAAGTAAGGCAGCGTGACGATTGCAACAAAGCATATGCATGCACGAGCTTATTGACGTAAATATGAAAATTATAATCCACCAATTATGTTTAAAATAAATACTATATTTACTCTACTATCTATGTAGTTTATGCAATTGAATACTATTGTACTGTTAGTGATGTATAATTGTAATTGTAATTACAGCATTTAGTTCAAGAGACCATCTCGTGGTCTGTTGCAACGAACATTTAATGATATTTAATTAAACTTAAACGTATTCAAAGAATATTCAATTGATTCAATTAAGCTATTATAATAAATATTTTAATATTTTCTTTCTCAATCATCGATCTGTGATTTTGTGATGACTAGAACTCTCTAGAAAAAGCGAATCATTTCAATTTAATTGGAATTTTCACTTAATGAATTCATCACGCAATTAATGCAGCAATTTTTTTATTTAAGAACAGCGTACAACGTAGAATGTTATCAAAATTTATAAAAATAACAGTATATTATTATAAAAATCTAAATTTAATAATTTGAATGTCTGTTTTAATCATATAGTAAAATTTGTTAATGAATCAGTAAGCTGTTCCTCTGAGAAAAATCTCTTTATAGTCAGGCAAAAGCATTTACGACGTAGGTAGTCTATGGCAGACTGTGGCTGCAAAAAGTACGTATAGTTTTATTATTCTTGCTTTCTAAATATAGGAGCTATTGAAGTGGATATCACGTCAGATATATATGTAAAGAAATATGTTGCTCTGTTCATTGCAATGTTTTATTTTTTCTCTTTTAATTTCGTTTATTTCTTGCTGACAAATACCACATGTATGGATGACACAAAAAAATCTTTAATTGGTTACCGAATTCGTATACATTTTCTGCCATATCATACTAAACGCGGTCGCTTTAGTGAAAGTGTCTTATATCTTTTAAAATATGTCAGTCGTTACAACTTATTCCATCGAGACATTAACTTTTTATTGAACATGAGATTGTAAAGAAAGAAATTGTTACGCTACAATATGTCTTGTCATTTATGACAAAAAATGAAACAAAACTAAGACATTTTGACATTTCTATCGTCACAGTACTGTGACAAAAAATGCCGGACTACTAACACGTGTGTACGTAATGATACATTTGGTTGAACATTTTAATAAATAACAATGTATGTGGAATGCGACTACAATATTGTAGCTGCGTCTTTGTTTTTTCTTTTATATATACACTAAGTAGTTTGTCAAGCTTAAGTCAAAGTAAGCAATATGTAGTGATGAACTAAAACATTGAAATCACAAGAAGAATTACTGGTTGACTAATTTGAGTTGTTGAGGCGTTGCAATTAGCGTTTATAAATAGGTAGAGAAAGGTTAGTTTAATTCATTCGAACGCCATCTCATGTTCGAACGTCTCACATTAAAATCACTAAGAATAATTCAAACAGCAAAGCGTCTTGAGGGAAAAGTCTTGTCATGATTTTCTCTCATTTAAATGAAAGTATAATTGATTCCCTTCACTTGACATCGTTTATTGAATTGGACCATTGCGCTGGAATTCTACTCAAAGAATTGATATTATATTACCAGATATTAACCCACAGATGTTGTACACTAAGTGTACTTTATATATATAGAAATTATAAATGTAACTTAGGTTTATCAACTAAACATATATCTTACAAACGACGAGCCATATACCGGTCCATGAGAACCTACTAATATCAAAATTCAATTACATTTAAAATCTTCGGAACAACGAAAAATAAATAAAATCTAATGTATTATGTAAAATCGATTACAATCAATAAAAAAGTTATTGCCATGTCAAACAAGTGGCAAAACCATGGTGAAAGGATCAAGCATTCGATACGCAAGTTAAAAGGGAAAGCCAAAAGGGAAAATTAACATAGACACGAGAACCGTGAGAAGGATGGTGTTCAACTATAGTATATTTAGAAATTCTACATAACAAAACTGTGCATTATATATGAGATGATCTTCTGTGCATTGCACAGGATTTGTGAAGCTATCTATGCACAATCTGTGAAGATTTTATTGATAATTAAAAGCATATTCGTTTTGAATATGACACGCTTGGATTGTATACAGTTCGTTGTAAAATTAAGGTCATATTGTACGTATCATTTAGTAACGAATATTAAAGAGAAAGTTTGTTTTGTAAAGAGGATGATAATACGTAAATCTTCATAATATTAAATTTTCTAATACCAAATAATCTTATAAGCGATATATTTGTTCTGATTGATACCAACAAATAAATTAAATTCACTAATTAATTGGTTTTGTTTTTGAAATGTCTTTTGAAATTGAACCCATGTTTTTGTAATACAATACATAGCTTTGTAAAGTTTTGTGATTAATTTATTATTAGAAATGCAATAAGACGTGTTTTTGTGTAAATAAACAAACACGACGTTTGCCTGTGTGTAATAAAGTAAGGTTGAATGAATGAAAAAAATTGAAATTTAATCGTTATTAAATTTGAATATTAAGTTTAAAAAAAAATCTATTACTGGTGTTATACTTTTCAATTGAATTTGAAAATGAAATTTGACAAAGAAAATTATAAATTATTAAAAAATAATTTGTTTTGAATAATTAAATTATAGATATTAAAGATAGTCTCAACAGAAGATTCATATAACTTAAAACAAACAGATCTCTCAAAAGCACTAACAATCATTTACATATATTTTATATCTACTTCGTTATTCGTATATTCTTCTTCAAATATTATATCATTTCTGAAAGTGATTACATGATAGTGATGGGTATCTCCGTAAACCGATTGTAAAGAATGTAAAGATACATTCAGAGATTGTAAATAAGAGATATATTACGGAATACATTTGTTTTGATATACTTGGAACAAGTAGCTAATGAGGAAATTATAAATTGTTTAATTTTCGTATTAATTTAAATTAGAAATGAAAATACGTTGTTTTTAATTGAACAAATTATTAATACCTAATCGAGACTAATTAGAGCAAAGTTTCTTCTTTTGACAATAATTGAGAACAAAAAGTGTCAGCTTGTCAAAAATGGCGCTCCTTATATAAGTAACTTGAGGGTTGCTAGTTCAATAATTGAATATTATTTAACAATAATATTGTATATCCGAAAATATTCATGTTAATGACATTACCACAGAGTATACAACCGTTTGAATTGTCAGTTTTAGATATAAGTTGTCATAATAATAAAAGTATTATATTTATTGAATCTATATCAGGTTATATGTTTATTTGACGTCATTTCCTTTGTTCAGGACGAGTCAGTTGGTTGCGTTGGTCGCCGTATCCTGTACCCTGTTCCTGTTTCTTCACACTAGGGATCTGAACACCAAGCTGAGGAATATGGAGCGTCTGAATGACGTCACATCCTTCAACCACCTCACTGACAGTAAGTATGGTTGTGATGTTAAAGGAATCTTTACCTTGTTACCACAAATACCTCTTCACAAAGTTCATTTAATATTGACACATGACAGAGACGAAGTGTTAAAGGAAATGACACTAAGAGAGGGAGAAGAATGCTTTAGTATACAATAAGAAATAAAATACCATACAAAAAAATTCGTATTTTTATCCAAATATACATTTTAATTGAGAGTAACTTGATTTAATATTTTAAGAAACCAGGTGTGAATTAATTGTATGGCAACATTAAATATTAAAATGAAAACAACAACAAAATAAGTCTGTTAATTGATGTGTAATTAGAAATAAAAATCTCATAATATAATAAATAAAAGTATGTATTTTAATATACAGTGTAATTGAATTTAACCTGATTTAATATTTAATTAAAAACTCAGTCATAATTTAATTATATGGCAACATTTAAGTATAAAAATGAAAACAACAACAAAATATGTCGGTTAATTCCACCGTTTAAATCTCACGGTGTTAAAGAAAGTAGCATTTTAAGTGTCAATGACACTATTTAAAAATTCGTCACTAATGAACATAATAAATACAGATATAATTAATTGGATGATTTAATTCACAAATGTGTTCAAAATGGACGGAGGAGGTTTTAATGTCGTTTTAATGTTTTATTTATTTTAAACCGTTAATTCCAAATGAATATTTTTCACCGTTTTAAATATTTAACGGTTGAGGATTTTAGCTATTAAATATATCCTTAATATTATGTACTAAATATATATTTTATTTTTAATTTAATATGATTATTGGTTTGAGAACATTTTATTTATTTATTTTTAATCCAAGAAACTGTCCTATTGCAATGTATTTTTAAATTGTTATATTCTTACGTATATATAAGAAACTATTTAATCTTGTTGTTTATGAAAATATCACTTAAATACTAATCCTTTTAACAAACAATAGTTTAAACTTCTAATAACTCATGTTTATAAACAAATTATTATAATCAATACTTATTCAAAGTCCTTCCTCGTCATATATTTTACATATAATGGTCTTATAGTGATTTATTTTAGTAATTTTTTTTATATTTTTTCGTATTGTATGCACATTAAACACTTGCAACTTAGCCCGACTTTCACACCCATTAAAAGTAATTCATCCTCATCATTTACACCGTCCAGTGATTTTCGATTGAGAATTCGATTCAATTCAGATAATGCGGTCAGAATCGATTTATTTTCGAATCGATTACGATTTATTTATAGCATTTTACGAGTGCATTTCACCAAAAAGTTTATATATAATGTGATTAAATATAGTACATAGTTTAAATTTTCGTTTATGTTTTCTTGTTTCGCTCAGAAAAGACCGCGAAGTACATCATGACCTAATTACTTTGACAAATTCTAGAGCAGCGGAAGAATACGCTCCAAAACCTTTGAACATTAAAAGGCGAGTTACGAAGGGAGACACTTATATCTTATACATATAATGAAACGTGGAGCGGGAGTTATGTCAATATTTAAATTAACAAGATTTATTTTAAGTATAAAAGTTATATAAATAAGATATATTAATGTTTTACACCATTCGTAGAAAACCTGAAAAAAAATTAAGAATAATAAAAGTCTTTTGTAACAATAACTTAAAAGGTAAAATCTGTTAAAGAAAGAGTTTATTTTCAAAATAAAATTTGTAAGAAATGACTCCGAAAGAAAGAACGTCAAGACGAAAGCTTTGGACGGAAAGCTTTATCTTAAGAACAACGTTTTAACACTTCGCATATAAATATAATAAGGGACATATTTAAGCAAAACATCTTTAATATGTCGACTTGTACACTAAATAAGAAACTTATTGAACAAAACTTCTTTTTATATCTCTCAAAAATGTCTACTTATAAGTCTCAATAAAAATATTGAACATAATGATAAGATCTCAGACATCAAAAGATAATAAGCTATTTAGATTCAAAACAAGTCCGTAGTGTCAGTCTAACACGTCGCCAAAATTAATGTTATTAATATGCATTTATAAATTATTTATTAATATGTATTTCTATATAATAAATCTTTGTCAATTTACTTTAATATTTACTTTAATACTTCCTCCGCTTTAGTTTATGGTAAATCAAAAATGTTGCTCGCTTAAAAAATACTTACATTAAAAACATTATTCCAAGTCAATACAAACATGATATACTTCGTTCCTTTTACGATTGACCATTGCCCGAATAAGAAACTAAATATTTTTATTCATAAATTTATTCCGCTTCATTTTATTTTCTTAAACCATTTTAAAGAAATGTTTCATTCATGTCAAGTTTAATATAGATTGCATGTTTTTATAATACAATTTGAATTTAGAACAATATTAAAATAAATTCCAGAAACATCTGCTTACGAAATTCTGATCATAAATTACAGATAACATTTTAAATGGTGCGTTTTACTTACCACAGACTAATAAGGCTCGGTGCTGGTATGCGTTCATTAGACCACAGGTTTCTGAACGCGGGTCACGCTCATACCACTTCCTTATTAGGTATTCTGCACTACACTAGACATGTTAGTGATGCACTAATGATGTTACGACATAATCTATGCAGATTCAAACGCTTCTGTGCTTATTTTATTAACGAAATTGATTTCGGCTGAATAACGTGGACCGAGTGCTAGATAAGTTTCCTGATATAAAAAATTGATACGTCATGTTCAAAACATATACATATAGTCTATAATTACGGGAGCTTTACAAATTACTAATTTAAGTCAATTAGTCCTACATGAAATGCCATTAATACCCACCGTTTGGTTGAAAACCACAAACATTATAATTAAACCATGCTCGGTTTTGCATTTGATACTATAATTATTCATTGTTTTTGTTGTAATTGTACCAAAAACATAATTAATTTATTTATAACTTCATGCTTAATAACCCATAATTAATCCTTAGGCTATAAATCTTTAACGTTGTAGTTATATTTTTATTAAACGCATATGAAATACGATTGTGATAAATCTTCATGAAAAATTCAAAGCCTTCCAGTTCTTGCTATAAACTTCTGTAGAGTGACATCCACACATTTATGTGGAATGTCAAAAATAGCACAATGCTTTGTGCTCAAGCCTCAAGGCTTATATAAAAAAAAAACTAAATAGTTCACATATCATGAAGTTATAAAACATTTTATTGCCAGTGAAAAAAATATATTTGTTTTTTATAATCATAATATTTTTTATCTGACCCATATTATTTTCTTTTTCTGACATAACTAAGTAATGTTTTTATGATTGACATACAATACTAAATGTAGTAAAGTGTTATAAACAGTTACTCTTTAATTTGATTGATGGCAAATTGAAGCGTGATCTCAGTTTATTGCTGGCGTTCAGATAATAACCATTACGAGGTTAAAATTTGAATGATTGCTGAACTATTAAATTGTTTTAATTAATATTAAACATTGGCATTGGCATATTAAACATAGATTTTTGGCGGGAAAAATGACACTTAAATGTTTGCGTACAGATTATATTATACCAGAATTATTGTGTATTGAAAAATTATATATTATTTTAAAGCAAACAATATTCCTTCGTATTTATTATAGACATTGTATTATGATTTAGTCAAGACTCTAGATCATGTCAATGGGATAGGTCACGAATGCAACTCGTGCGCCATCTTTAAATCTAAACGATTAATGCCAATGTAGGCACATTATTTATTTATAGTCTGTTTATATGTAATGTATATTATTTAAATCTAATTTCTATTAATAAAAAAGAAAAATACTAATTATGATTAAATACAGTAGTTTCTTGTATAAAATTTTAGTAAATTATACTAACATGCCTTCAAAGATCTATATTGAACTAACGATATAATTTCAACTAATTCGCATTGAACAAAAAATACTTGCTCATCAAGTCTTCCCCATGGATCTTGCGAGATTCATAAATAATTATTAATTATTAATTTCGTATGTACATAATTTTAAACAACATCTGTTCGCAAGTTTGTTGATAATTGAATAACGCAAACAGCCTCGCATGTTACTGCTAGTTCTCCTTTTTATATCAGTGTAAGTGAAAATTCACGGAAACATTTGCTATATAACTCATCTAGATACAGGAAATGTCTAGAAATACATATTACATTTCGCTTTCAGGCATTAATTCGTTTATAAACCAACAAACAACAACATTATAATGAAAAATAGACCAAAAAGGTGAAATTATACATTACTCGACTAAGCCGCGGGCATAATGCAGTAAACTGCACTATCTATTTTCGTTTGTTCAATACGGCTATGTTCACATGAGTGATTCAACATATAACACAATTTAGACTTAATATTAGTGATTTAAAATGGTACGTCAGGCTATTTATTAATTAATATTTGGTCAATTAATTGTCGAATATATAAATCAAAACAAAATAATACAAAAGTTTAAGAAATATAATATTTTTAATCGAATTCTATTTCAAGAAATGAAACTAAATTTTCGGATACTACGCGTTTTATGTTATTATATATAAATAATGCAGATTTTTTGGTTCCTTTACAGCCACTACCCGAAAAACTAAGTATCATTTTATTAAGTGAAGCTATCAGAACCCTATGCTGGCGACTCGGGTTATTCATCCACGGAGATGATCTTAGAAACCGAATGTACGATCAAGTTGAGGTTGTTTAGTTCGATAGCCCTATTATATGGGGTGGCTTATATAAAAAAATATTATCGGACCACAAAATTTAATTTTAGGGTCGGTAAACTGAACCCATGTCCAAAAAACATTGAAGTCGCTTCACTTGACCCGCACCAAAGTCGAGCTTAGCAAAAATAAAATGCCACTATGCACATCCTGGTATAAAATAAAGTTTTTTAATTTATATTTATTGAGAATATTCAAAAATAAATATCTTCTGTCATCTCAATGTATTTGATGACGGCAAATATAAAAGTTCTAATCAAGTTTGGATTCCAATGTACACTG